GGTCCACATCTTAGAGGAAACAAGAGGGCGTGAAGGAAAAGCAGGGCACTTAATCCCCAAATCCCAGAGCTTAGAGTCCAATCCTGATTCCTGTTGGCTGAGTGACCCTTCTCAAGTCACTTGAGCCCTTTGAGTCTCAGTCCTCTCATCTGTACGAGGAGGATCACTGTGTCTCAGAGAGTTGTGGGTAAGATTCAGGGAGATTCTGGATGTGAATGTGCTTCTCAGACCACAGAATGCTGTGCTTGCTGTGTTTGGGTGGAGGTGAGACATGGCTGCTGTTGTTATTATCCTCTTTTAGTGCATCAGTGATTCCTCCTCACCAGGGTAGGTCCTCCCGACAGCCTGACAGAACCCTGCTCTCTGAGGAGCAGAGGTGTGATCATGAGTGAAGTCCCAGTGTCAGGGTGGGAATGGGATGACGGTGAAGTGGGGTGACCGCAGCTACGTGGCCCCCTTTCTGTTTCACATCCATGGGTGAACGAGTGCCCTGCTCTGCCTGGGGTGGGGGGAAGTAGTCTCCCCTGCCTCTCTTCCATCCATGGAGCATATGGAACCGAGGGCTTCGATTTTGGGTATTTTTCTCTGACTTTCCCACTGTGTCTAGCCAGCGCATAGCATATGCTCAGGAAACACACGCTGAATGAATGCATGCATATTATAAAGGAAGAAATTAAGACTGCAGGAAATGCCTAAAGCATCAGACACGTCAGCAGGCAGAGCCCGGCCAGACGGATATGCAGAACATTTTGTGACGGAAGACACTGCTGCCATCCCTGGACGGGTGCCCATCCCCGAACGGGTGCCAACTCAGTCTCTCGCCCTCTTCCTCAAGTATTTCTTTCACCTGCTACCCTGTGAGAGTTTCCGCTTGCATGTGGATTATGCCAGGAAGCTGGAAGCTGCTCCGGGAGGGAGGGGTGGGGGAGAGGTGTCCCGGTTCTGAGTCTTGTTTACGAATTTCTCTACTGCAATCCTGACAGTCAGAGCTGCGGGCCGCGAGGTGCAGTTAAGCACGTCACGGGGGGATTGCCGTGTTGGTTCTGCTCCGACTCTCTCTCTTTCCCATCGCTGGGGTTTCCAGGTGGGCTCAGGCCTCACCCCAGCCCTGTCTGGGATGCAAGCAGCTTGGTAACAGCTCCAGTAGCATCTGGTATCTTTTTCAATCAGACTTGGCTAATCTTGTTTTCAGTGTCAGAACCGCTCATTATAGGGGTTCCAGTCTTTGGTCATTTATTTGTCCTTCATTCACAAATGTTTATCAAGTGCCTATTCCGTGCCAGGCCCTGTGCTAGGTTTGGGGCTAAAAAGATGGAAAAGACACAGACCCTCGTCTAGAAGCTCATAGTCTTGTGGCAACAGGTTTATAAGAGAATGTGGCAGATGAACGCATTTCAGGTTTTGGGGAATCACTGTCTGGGGGAATCATTGCTTGGGCATTTGAGGTGCTTTACAGAGGCAGATGTTTTCATCTGATCAAGAAGGAAGGCTGAGGGGAGGAGAGCTGCCTGGGAAATCTGAGAGGCCCGCCAAGAGGTTCAGGCCTGAGAGCATTTGTTTCCTGCTGTCCTGCATTAGTTCTGGGGCTTTGGAAAGTTTGTGCAGAGTCCCTGAGCCCTGTTTTTCGTTGCTTCCATTTTTCCTCTCTGCCCTGGACTAGTCTCTCTGCACTTCCCATGTTCAGCTCCTCAGATTTTCTTAGTCCTCGTCAAGGGCACAGGCTGGGAGTGAAGGGCGTTTGCTGCAGATGACCACTGGGGTCTCAACTGCACAGAGGGGAGGTGGAGAGGGTGAGGGAGAGGCCCGGGGGCATGGACCAGACCCGACTTCTAAACCGTGTCAGTAGCCAGGTACAGAACTCCACCCCAAGTGCAGGAGTGAAGAGCCCTGGGGGACGGAAGAGGGCCTGGGGATGTACGTCCACATTCTCGGGAGCTGGTCCCTCTGCCTGACACGGCCCATCTCCTCCCATCCCAGCTCCTATGCAGCCCTCGGCCTCTGCTGACCTCCAGCAAGGCCCACGCCCTGATCTGGCTCTGACAGCTCCCCACGTGTTTCATCACAGCCTGTGAGTCAGTTGTTAGTGAAACTGGAGTTGGTGTGATTGTTTGATAATCCTCTACCCCTCCCCACCCTCCACTGCCTCTAGACGCTGAGTGAGCGCAAGGGTCTGCCTTCTCTCACCAGCAAGTCTAGTGCGAGCACAGAGGAGGCATGCTGCCCATTTCTTGGGATGAATGAGTGGAGCTGGACGCCCACTGCCCTGCCTGGGAGGGGTCAAGGGTGGGCTGGGCCAGATTCTGGGGGTGGCTCAGCCCAAGGCGTGAGCCCCTGGCAGCTGCTGGGACTCCACCCTGGCCCAGCCCCCCTGAGCTGCAGGGCACAGTGGGGACCCTCAACCTGAGCTCCGTGCAGAGCCTTGTACGACCACCCCGCGGGGCCCAGACCTCAGCTGTGCCCCCTGCGCCTGTTGCTCCAGCCACAGCACCCTCCCCCTCGTCCCCCTCGTCCCCCACGGCCGTGCTTTCTTGCTGTTCACATGCGCTTCCCTCTGCCTGGAGAGAGCCTGCTCATCCTTCAAGGTCTAGTGCAAGTACTTTCTCTTCTGGGACAACTCCCTGACCACCCCCAGAGAGAATTTACTGCCTCCTCCAGGGGTACCTTGCACCACCTCTGGCACTGGATTTGTCACACTCCTTTAGGATCCTTTGCTTAAGGAGCTGTCCTTCCTCTGGATTTCGAGCACCTCCAGGGCAGGACCTAGGCATTGTACCCTCTTGTCCTCCTTCCAGCCGTCTGGAGGCTGGCCAATAGCAGGGGCTGATTGAATGGTGGTTGGAAGGATGGAGCTACTCTGGGGCTCACATCAGGTAGGGAGGGGGCCTGGAGAACAGGAGGGGGCCTAGCCCTTCTTTGCCTGTCTTGCCCTCTTGGGTCTTTCGACTGCCCAGCTCTTCTGTCTGCGAGCCAGGAAGGTGCCACCAGGGCTGAGTGGGCTCCTGGACTCGGCCTCTCTTGGAGGTGGACCCCACCCATGCTCCCGGACCCCTGCTGACCTGCCACATTCCTGAGCCCCAGCCAAGCCCAGCAACCCACTGGGTCTATACCAGCGGGCAAGTCAAGGAGGAGAGGGTGGGGAGGACCTGCTTCTTCCAGGGTGGCCCAAGGTTTGGGCTGACCTCAGGTGTTGAACACTCTACTCTGGTGGTTCATGGTGTGTTGGGGCCTCCTGGGCAGTAATGAGTTAAGATCAGGATGGCTAGTCCCAGCGTCCCAGGCTTCCCTCCAGAGCTCAGCTGTGGGTATCAGATATCAAGGGACACATTCCCCTTGAGGGGAGATGGGGCTCAGACCTCTGCCCAGGGCCCTCCCCAGCTCCTGTCTCACGGGTGTACCTGGTTGAATAGGTTTGAAGGAGAACCGTCATGGAGACACAGCTACCAGTGTAGGACTCTGTCTAGGGAGTGGCCCGAGGGTGTGGGAGGAAGCAGGGAGGGGAAGGAGAAGGGAGGGCTGGAAGCTACAGTTGTCTGGGCCTCATTACAGGGAAATAACAGGATTATCAGGTACGGGTGGTTTAATGGTTAGCTCAGGGGCCAGAAGCTCCTTGGGTCCCGTCCTGGATCGTGGGTAAATCTGCTGCCTTGCCTCTGGGGCCCCGGGCCTGGTCACTCCTCCCCAGCTTGCCCACTTGCCACCATGCACTCATACAGTAGCACCCGGCTCCTTCTCCGGGCAGTGGAGGGTCAGTGCTGGCCACGCCACCCACCTGCCGTTCCCTGGAGTGGATTTTTCTTTAGTCATAAATGCTGACATCTGTACAGGGCTCCCTGGTTTACAGAGGCTATTCACATATACCACTAGCCCATTTACTCTTTCCACTAACCCTGTGTCTGTGCCTAGGGGGTCACGTGGATAATGTTTCTGTTTTACAGAGGGAGATGGTGAGTCTCAGAGGAAAGTTTGAAGACTGACAAGCTCATAAGGGAGCTGGCCATGTGACCTTTTGACTCTATGGCTAGTGCCCCAGCCATCTGCCCCCCAAATTGCCCCCTTCCGTGTTGCTCCAAGCGCCACCAAGAAGCCGCTGACATTCGGGCGGGCTGGTACCGCTTCCTCTTCCCTCCTGAGAGCCCTGGCAGGATGGAGCTTCTCTGCAAACAGGCTGGGCTTCTAGGGACGGGACATAGACGGCTGGTGCTTCAATGCTGGCTGAACCCCTTCCCCTTTCTGGCCCCAGCTCCCCCAGCCCTGGGGCTAGAGCATCGCCAGACTGTTCAGGGGAGTGTCACAGAAAGTGCTCGGGAGTCAGGAGACCGTCCCCTGGGGGGCCCAGCAGGTCACCCCCTTCTCTCCCGGACCTAATGCTCCCCCTTCCCTTCCCTGCCTTTCCTCCCCTTTCATCTTCACTTTGCTTGTTGGCAACTGCAGCATCCCGGCCAACAATCAGAGAAGGAAGTTTCCCTGGTTTCCACCTCCTCCCCTTCCTGTCCTCAGCCGTCCTCCCTGAAAGGTGGGATCGATTCTCTTTGCCCCCAAGACAGTGGAGAAGCTCTCGCTGTTCAGAGGAGGAGAGAAAGCAGAGCCAAAAGGAGGGGCAGGTAGATTGCCACAGCGCCCCAGATTGTTCTGAAGCAGTGCTCCTCTGTCTTTCTTTAAAAAGAAAAGGAGTCAGTTTTCCCAGAGAGGTAGCAGAGGGCCACCATTGTGTCAAAGCAGACCCTTTCCTTGGAAAAGTGGCTCCAGTCTCCAGCCAACAGACCAGGAGACCTTGGGCAAGAGAGTAGGCAGGATGGCCCTGGCTTGGTGCCGGTGCAACGGCTGTTGGCGAGGAGGGCAGGTGGAGACTGACACCTATAATGGGCTGGAGTGTGGGGCGGGTCAGGTGTGACTTCTTTTTTTAACCTGGAAGGTGTTGCAAAATTCTCAGCTGCCCAAAGGGCCCTTTATGGGGAGAACCTCCCTCCACCAGTTTTTGGAGCAGAGGCCTTCACACTCACCATGTTGGCTCTGCGACCTTCCCGAATTCTCTGCAGCCTGGAGCTGAGTGACGTCGGCAAGTCAGGAGGAGGGCCTCCCGGGATCGGGCCCTGGCGGCCAGCAGGTCAGTGATCCCTGGCAGCATCGGCTGGAGGAGGCCTAAGCGCAGGGCAGGCTTTGGTCCCCAGCGTCCAGCATCTCTCCGCGCCTCGAGGAGCTGGCCGTGTGCCTCCCGCCGCTGTCTTCCAGGAGTGATTTGGAGACTGTGGGGCAGGTCAGTTAAAGCAGCCCTACAGGTGAAGTTGCCAAACTGGAACGATTATGCGTCTTATAATCCGACACTCGTTTTAGGGGCTGGAACAATACCTGGAGTCATTCTTCGGCCTTTGGCCTCAGAACAGGTGACACACCTAGATGTTGTAAAAGCCTTCCTGGCTGAATGGCTTCCACCCAACCGGGAGTTGGCTGTCTGTGATGTCAGAAGGCCCTCCCTCTCTCTCTCTCTCATCTCTTCTAGCTGCAGGTGTTTTGTTTGGGGTTCTCACCGTGTGGGTGTTTTGTTTGGGGTTGTGGGGAGGTGGTGGAGGAGTGTGGGGGGTGGGCTGACGGAATTTACTGCTCGGTGGACTGGATTGTTGCCGTGAGTGGGGCGACAGGATTGGTGGGAAGTCCGTGAAGAACAGGTTTCCCTACCTTTCCCCGGACCTTGGAGTGAAGCTGTCCTGAGTAGGTTCATATACGGAGTGCCGGCCAACATCCCTTTTGAGTGTTTTTTGCCCCTGCCTCACCGGTTATTACTGTTTTGAATATCACCCAGCAGGGTCACTGCAGATTCCCATCCTGCAGTATCCTGAGATCCGGAGCCACCCCCTTGGCCGGGGGGTGTGCCAGGAGACACCTTGGAACCACAGAACCACAGAACCGGAAGGGATTTGGACAACTGTCTTCTCCCATCCCCTTTGTGGCTCAGGAAACTAAATTCCCACAAAAGGGATGTCCAAGATCGCACAGTAAATTAGTGTCGGTTTCTGAACAAGTCTAGATTTTCTTCCATGTCTCAGCCTTGACCCTCCCCAGAGACCAGCCCAGGTTAGACTTCTGTATTGGCCCATCCATGGATAACATGCTTGTATGTTTCATCTCTTCAATTCTCACCGTAACCCCATGAGGAATATTTTGCTCCTATCTGACCGTTGAGGAAATCGTAGCGCGTGGAGATGACGTGACTGGCCCCCCAATCACACTGGGTTTTTGGCGGAGCTGGGGCTTGAGCCCGGTTCAGGGCTGAATGCAACGCATGTGTCTGAAAGCCCTGGGTGATGGTCTGGGGAGATATGGTGCATGCAGGACCCCGGTGACCTCTGGGCAGAAGGAGGAATATTGGCTCGATTGAACTGTTTACTGGCCTAATCTTGGCTCCTCCATCAGGTGTGGCCTTGGACTCATCTCTGAGCAGCAGAGATCTGAGCTGGTCTGGGGGGTCTCTTGGGCCCACCATCCTTCCCCACTCTAGGTTGATGGCCTTCAGAATTGGAAGTTTTGGGCCAAGTCAAGTGCCCGTGATCTCAGAACAGGTGACTTCAAGGGACAGGCTGCGAAGATCCAGGCAGGCATGTCCCTCTTAAGGAGGACCCAGCAGTCGGGCAGTGGGAGGCCAGGGGGCCACCCTGAACCAGGCTTTCCCTGACCTTGCTTCCTCTGTGTACCCGGCTAAACGTCAGGCCCCAGGCTTGCATCTCCTTGCTGGGTGCTCAGGTGATGAACCAGGAAAGAGGTAGCTGTGTGGGCAAGAATGCTGCTGGGCGACGCTTGCTGGAGGGATGATTACTCAGCCCTCCTGTCCCCAGCTCGGGCCCAGGCTCCCAAGTGGGTCTGGGAGTTTGAAGAGAGGCCTGGGAAGGAGACAGGTGGGCAGGACGAGGCAGGGTCCTTGTGGGGAGGAGGTTGCACGGTGTACAGGTGGAGGCCCAGAGGCCTGGAGAGAGCAGAGGGCCCGTCCTCCCGGGTGCTGGGGGGACCAGCTGGCTGGATGCTCCCAGCCTCCTGCCCCCATTCATCCAGAGGCAGCTTTAACTCCCCCTCAGCTCCTTCCTGTCCCGTCTCTGATGGCTCTCTCTCTTTTCCAACCATCTCTTTGAGTCCCCTCCTTTTTTCTCCCTCCTTTCTTTCCTTTTGCTCCTGTTTTATCTCTTTCTCTCTTTGTCCGACAGTTTTTCCTCTCCCTTCTTCCTGTTGCTCTCATTTCCAGCACGTGGGTCAAGGTCAGAGGCATTTTTGCCACGCAGCTAATGTAGCCTAAGCTGCAGAGCCCCTCCCTGCACGGCACCTGCAAGGCTGGGAATGGTCCCGGTGATGTGTTCACATAGTCATACTATTTTGTAAATTTTGCAGCAGAGTTTTGCGGGTATGTTTTTCTCAAAGAGGGTCCCTCAAAATGTATCATCAGCTTGAGGCCTCACACAACCTGGCTCTCCCTCGGTGAGCAGCATGGGCTCCGGTCGCCTGGGCGCTAATCCCAACCACTGATTGTGTGACTGTGGGCATCTTACTTAATCCTCCCAAATTTCACATTCCTCATCTGTAAAGTGGTGATAATAGGACTGACCTTATAAGGCTGTTACAGGATTAAATGAGATATCCATGTCTGGTACCTAAAGGGGATTTCCTGAATGGAGCTATTATCCCTATTCATTTCACAAAATGTGTATTTATGGAGCGCTTGCTAGAGCCAGGCACTGGGGATTAGGAGATAAAAAACACAGCCCTGCACGCGCACACCTCATAGTCTACAGGAGGGGATATGACACATCCATAAATCATTCTAAGTTAATAAGATGTTCCAGTAGAGTTAGAAAGAAAACTCTTTGGGAGTTTAGAGGGTTTTTCATCTTTCACTGCCCTCTTCCCCTCCCTCCCTCCCTCCCTCCCCTCCTTCCCCCTTCCTTCATTTCACCTCCAGGACATTTTTACCTAGATATATAATTATAGGACAGTTTGATCTTCACATCAGCATCCGTCCATCTACATCTGCCTGCCCATCCGTTCATCCATCCATCCATCTGCCCATCCATCCATCCATCCACCCATCCGCCCATCCGCCCATCCATCCATCCATCCATCCATCCAACAAATATTTTCTGTGGTGCTAAAGGCACTGTGATGTTAGACCCTGTGGTTGTAGAAGGGCCTGCCCAGGGACTGCACTCCCCCTATTACAGCAGGACCTTCTGAGGGCAGCAAGTCCTCTAGATCGACCTACGGAGTCAGAATCTGCATTACAAGATCCCTGGGTGATTCATATGTACCTTTAAGTTTGTGAAATGCTGGTCTAGATCTCTTTCTGTGCTGGGGAGAGGGTAGAGGCTGTGATTTCTGGAGCGAGCTGAACTCAGAGACTGGAGCTTGGCATCCATGAGTCCTGTGGGTTCCTTCCAGCCAGCAGAGTCTATGATTCTTCCCTCTGAGCCCAAATAATTTGAGATAAGTTTCAGCGACAGACCCTTTTGTTCTAGCCTCTCCCAGGAAATTAAGCGAGAAAGGGTGCAGGCCGTGGGCAGGTGCTGGCAACAGCTCTCGTCACCCAAGCCAAACAGCTCTGAAACGCGGCAGGTAGGGAATGCAGCGCCTGTGCTATGGGGACAGCAAGGGGCACCTCAGCTCTCTGTGAGGGATGCAGGTGTGGGCCTCTGTTGAGTCTCTTTCCCGAGAGGATTTTCACTGCTTGGCAGCCCGTCTCCCAAGACATGGGTTAGGCCCCGAGGCTGTGGAACTGAGTCTTAAATATCTGCACCAAAGAAGAACTGGGGAACCTGAGAATCCCCAACCCTGGCTGGTCTCTGCTGGGTGGGAGCTGACCTTTCTCTTGCCAGGATGAACTTCCACGGGTGGGGAAACTAAGGCTGGGGGCGGGGGTGGGGCACAAGTGCATCTGACAGAATGACAAGACATTTTTGCTTCCATAGACCACAAGAGGGAAAAATAACCAGCATGTAAATTGTGTTCCCATGTGCCAGGCTTTACACCTGTGCAAAGGAAGGACATCACCTCATCTGGTCCTTGCGGCCACCCTAGGATGTGGTGCTGCTCTTGCCTCCATTTTACAGAGGAGGAGACAGAGGCTCAGAGGGGGTGGGATGCAGGTCTGCGTAACTTGGGATGCCCAGGCTTTTTCCACTGCATCGTGCGTGGTTAGGCCCTGCATGGGTCATGGAGAGAAACTGCAATGGCCTCTGCTGTCCTCCAGGGACCTCTGGAAAGCCACTCGGGCCCCTGTGGCACCAGAGCACAGGGTGGGCCTGCCTGGACCCCAGGGGACAGTTTCTACATTGCCAGTATAATTTGAAATCAGTCTCAGAGAAAATGTTTTCATTCAGTCCTCTCCCCTGCAAAGTGGGCAAAGAATGAATTTTAGATTATTTCAGAGGCAGCCTCTTTCTTTTCATCTGTCTCTAGAGGCTGCTCATAGCTTCACCCTGGAGGAGCCCAGTGGTTTAAAGGAAGAGGGAGGGCAGTGGGGCTGGGAGATGCTGCTTTTCCTCTTAACTGTGCTGTAGATTTGAGACCACGAACATATAATACTTTGATGATTTTTTTAAAAAAAGAATCTGGCTAGAAATTAAATAGTATAGATTAAAACTTTATTACATTTATTTCCTCAGGATCAGAGAATCAGTTTAAAATCCAGTCTATTATACATGGAATAAACTCCATGCACAGCTTTAAATCTTAACTATAGCAGCTCTGTCACCCACCAGCTGGGTTACCTTGGGCATGTTATTTAACCTCTCTGTGTCTCACTTGCCTCATCTGTAAAATGGGTGACAATGATATCTACCTTTAAGGACTGTTGAGAGGATTAGGTGACTTAATATTTGTAAAGTGCTTACAATGGTGGCATGAAAATACTGTCAGTGAAGTGAAAACGATTATTAGTTCAGCCACAGGTTAAATAAATCATCAGCTTCAGAATGTATGTTTTGCCATGTAGTCTACATGTCACAGATTTTTTACTGCTTCATCAACAGTGCATGGTTTTTATTCAGGTTTCAACCCCATCTTTTGCCAGTTGTGTGGGTGAGGGCTGGACCCTCACTTCTTGGCCTCAGTTACCTGCGGCGTTAAAACAGCTGCCCAGTCTGGTCCACGATGTGGTTGTGAAGGTGGGAGGGGAGAACGGTTGTGTGAGGGCTTCACCAGCCGTGCAGAGCACTGTCAGTGTAAGGGACCTGTGTCCTACAGATGCGGGACTTGTGAGAATGTTGAAGGC